TATAGTAAGTAACTACCTACCTACGTAAGTAAGTAAGTAGTTAGTTTCGTTACTTAATACTTACTTAACTTACCTACCTAACTAACTATCTAGACTCTCTCTCTCTCTCTCTCTCTCTCTCTCTCTCTCTCTCTCTCATGCCCAAGTTTGCTCCCCCTGTCATGCCCCAATTTTTCCTCTCTCACGCCATATTCTTTTCTCTCTCTCTCTCTCATGTTCTTTCATGCCACCAAAAAAGAAAATAGATTAAGGGGGTGGCAAGTGAAACTCTAAATTAGGGTTTGCTGTATGTTTTGAAAAAAGAAGAGAGATGCCCAGCCTAGAGAGAGATCAACTGACAAATTCAGCCCTCATTGTTCCTATAGGTTTCTATAAACCCTAGTAGAGTTTTGAACTCTTGAAAACCCTAGATAGAAAGGTATTGCATTTAAAAGCTCCCTATCTCACAAATTCCAGCAACGGACTAAAAGTGCATAAGCGGTCAAGGAATCAAGTATGGATATATCAAGACTTGTGAGGGCAACTCCAGCATCTTCTAGTATGTCCTCCAAGTTTCAGCTATATTTCATATTTGTCTATGAATTTTCAGGAATATCTATTGTACTTAAAACCATAGTAGAAGATTGTGTATTGCTCCTGGATGTTATTTATTTGTTTTGCAGTAAAAATAAAGATCCTAAGTTGTGTCTCCAGTATTAATTTTCATTTACAGCAGTATATAGCAGCCCATGTAAGTAAAATTCAGGTATATTAAATAAAAGGAAAATAAAAAGTTTTACGTTTAATACATTGAGTTCCACATAACCACTCCTTTCAATCAAGTGTTGTTCTAGGTCAATGTTGCACATAGCTAACCCACCTAATTCTATTTTCCTTCTTCTTATTGCCTATTAGAACTACCCCTAAGTTCCCTTAGATGCATTCATTCCGAGTTCTATCCTTTCTTGTCTTGTCACTCATCCATCTCAATAATGGCAAAACTCTTCCATGGTTTGGCCTTCCAGTATTATACTGCTACCCACTGCTTGGTAAGTAAAACTTTGCAAATGGCAATTAAATAGTTGATAATGATCAAATATCAAGCTAGCACTTGAATGGCCAATTCGTGCCTTTTATGGATTAGTAAGGGCTACAATCCCCTAACCAAGCAATATGGAAAAAGAAAACTGGAAAAACAAATGACAAAAGAATGAATAGGTATCAACTTCAACCAGGCCACAATTTGACAGGAACTATTGCGATGTCTTGACTTTGATAGTGAGTACAGAACTACAGAGTTTTTTTAAAAAAAAAATAACAAATAATAATGGAACAAGGAATTTCCAACAAATATGATTGGACAACAAATTTCCATTCATAAAAAGAGCATAGCTCTTGTACCTTACAACTACATAAGTGGCTCTAGAAGATAGGTATCCCCAAGCTCTCGAATAAATATATTGGGTTATAATGACAAATCAACCATGACTAAAAAGTGCCTTCCTGTTACAAGAGCACCTTATGCAGATTTTGATGTTCACCATGATATCATATCCAATATTTAACCCAGGACTTTGGGCCGCCATCCAGCGATAACATCGTCTTCCTGAGCTCGAGTTTTTTGAAAGGACTCGAGCGACAAAATCGACTGCAAGAAGAGATTAATAGTGTTACATGTATCTGTGCATGTGTGTGTGTGTGTATAGATGCATGTGCATATGTATATATGATGTATGACTTGTATGTACAGATGATCAGCTTATGCGATGGAGCTCTTGGGAGGAAAGAATAGAAAACATGTATGATGCAGTTCAGCCCCTAAAAGATACACAAAAGCCAACAGTGACATTGAATAAATACATCTCAACAGATTATAGTTATAATTGATAAGTTTGAGACAAGCGATAGCCAGTAGCCGGACATGCCTATTGGAAGCTTATCGAACATAAACAATTCATCATAAGATTTTTAATATGAGCACATAACATGTACAAGTAAGCATAGAAAATATATTCTGCCAGTTCTGGATATTGCTATTTTGGCATGATACTGAACAACTTTATCACAGATCTATAAAAAAGAAAGCAGAGTCAACTGATGCAAGAAAGTATCACAAAACTGATTAGCATTCAGTATAACTTAAGAGACAAAAGTAAGTGATGATGTCATTTGACTTAAAGCACATCTATTATTATGCACGGATTCTGAATTTATGGACCAGAATGTTCCATTTTTCAAAATACAAATCTTACCTGTGTGCAATGTTCACCAAATAGTCAATTGTCCCAAAGGTGTGATGTCAATTGAAATTAATTCTATTAATTACAAACACAGAAATTTAAATTTTATGTTTCACAAAGTCCCATTTAAATCAAATTTATCACTTAATTTATTTTACCAAACTTTATTGTCTTCATTGCACAGGTGTCAGAAGTTGTGATTGCTGATGAGGACACATTATTAAAAGCGCCATTACTAATGTTTACTAAAAGGTACCACACAGAAGCGCCGATACAATGGGGTAACCGAAACTTGAAAATTCAAATTCACCAACTGAAAATGTTTGCTCATCCTGAAAGATAACGATGTTTATTTGCATATTCCTGAGGACAGGCTATGTAACCATTACTGACACAAAATTCAACCAGTACTTCCCATGAAATAACTTCCTTTAACATACAACAAATTTTAGGCTTCTCAGCAGTAACTAATGCCATAGGAAGTATAATGGGGTCACCAGCAAACCAAGGCAACTATACTGGCCAGCATGTTCTCCGTAATCCATTTTATTTCCTGCAGTTGGATCACACATAATCCAAGGGAAGAACTCCATGGAAGTGCCAAAATATTAAGATAAGGACTTAAAATAGAATCTTAACATTACAAGAGTACATATGTCACGGTAAATTTTTCCCAGCAAATAAACCTTCCTCTATGGTCTACTTTGATTACGTTTCACTACTGAAATTTGAGAATACAACATAACAGAATGTTACTGTGAAAGTCTCCTTAACTATGATTCCCAAGTTTTGAATATCCAACCAAAAAATTATAATGCACACCACAAATAGATTTTTCAGTATCTAAGAATACATTCAATTTTTCAAGTGTAAAGGTAATTTAATGTGGGTCGGACACTTTCATATGGTTCTCAAATGAAGCAACAGCTCACAACATAACTGAATCATTTTTAATATATATAACATGTAATTGACATCATAATGGCTGAAATTCATTTGAAACTTGGACTCACCTTCATATAAGATTGCACATATGGAAGAGATTCTGGAACTGACCATTTCTTATAGTAACCTAAAACAATCTCCAAATGGTAGAGCTTGGGAGCTAAAGACAGATCAGCTGCAGAAAGCCCTTTCCCGTTGACAAAGGGGCCCTGAATCACAACCAAAATCGGTTTAACTAGATAAACATAATCTTCAAAGCCTACATGGAGTATTCATTGTAAATTATGCATTAAATGAGGACCTTGAGAGAATGCACAAAATTCCTAAAACATATGGGAAATCAATATCCTAAAGTAGGAAGAAAAATTATTGCCAACGTTTCTGATATTGTATGGTAGTAATTTCAACTTTAAAGTCAATGTCAGTCTGGGGATGTGAACCCATAACCAGTTATGCTTTGGGCAAGCATTTTAACACTGCCCTATCAATTGTATTTTTAGAAATAGGAAGAAGAGCTCACTCCCAAATAAATACAGCTTTTCTAAGTAAAGGTGACCTTATATTGTATATACAAGATGTGGGAGAAGGCATCCCACAGGTCGGGTGCTCTACATAAGTAAAAGATGAAGAAGAAAGTAAAAACCCCATTGCTTGATCTAACCATGGTCAAAAAAGTAGGGGCCTAAGTTGAGAGGGTGAGAGAGAGATGAAAAAGATAGAAAGATGGGTGGAATCGACAAACAAGAGATGGACTTCTGCATAAAGAAAAGGGGAAGATTGAGGTGTGTATAGAGTGAAGAGTGGGAGGAGTGAGAAAGAAAGAAGGTAAAGGGAGAGGAGTTTCAAAGGAAGATTAAAGAAAATAACAAGCAGCGTTCATGACAATACCCCAAAAATCCAAAAAATCAAAAAATCAGAAAAGATGCTAAACATGCCCCTTTGCACCATTTTTTGCTAATGCATCAGCTGTTGAATTTGCTTGCTGCCAGGAATGATACAAGGCGACTTGAAGTGGCCTAGGTGGACAAAAGTGGTCAAAGATATGCTTCAGTCTCCTAGGGCATTTGGAAATTCCTGTAGTCCATGGTATGATATTATTTGAGTCTCCTTCAATTAATAGTTGATTTCCATAATCCGGGGTTAAAACTTTTAAGAACTTCGAGGAGTACACATGCTTCAGCCAAGGTAAGAGTCTCCCATTCCAATGTGGGCAAACAAGCCTGAGAGGATATCTCCTTGTGCATTCCTGAAAATGCCCCCAATGCCACAACGGCCAAAACATGAGGAGGCAACCATCTACATTGAGATTGACCACCCCATCAAGTAGGGGGATCCACCTAGATTAACTGTGGGGCTGTCTTTGGCATGTGGAGAAGAATAGTTGACCAATTATTCCCAATGTCTGCCTGCGAGAAGCCTTTGAGGTCTTTGTGGTTTCCTGCCTAGAAAACTATAGGTCCCAGGTGTAATCAGCAGTTGCTGTGGTACTCCCAATAGCTCCCTGAAATATACGACTCTCTCTCTTAGGCTGTCCATAGGACGAGACCTGCCGAGGGTTAGGGAAGACAGAAATACATAATGAAAAGGAGTTCCATAGAATTTGGAATAATCCATTGCAAGTTGGAGGTTCAGAGATGTTCTTCTCATATCAAAGAAGTGTAATTGTAGTGAGGAACAGGTGGCTGGTCTTTTGTTCATGCCAGGGGTTTAAAAAGCGGATCGGTGACCCGGATTGGGCATCTCAAAAACCCATCCGGATCAGCGAATCGGCGATCCGGATCAAGAATAGGCTGAATCGGTCGGATTAAGCTTTAAGAAAATTCCAAAAAAAGTATTAAAATTCGTTATAAATATTATCCTTTAGGAATCCAATAAGAAATGAGGGTACTACATTATTAACTTTCATTTTTTTCATCAATTTGTGAATATTGAGATGCTCTTTCCCTATATAAACTTATGTTAACCATTAAATTTGCATCACATAAAAGAAAAATCATAGAATTATCATGGACAAAATATATAATTATATATGGACTATTATAAAGAGTAGACTAATCAATGAAAGAATGGCCATTAAAATCTCGTTTTGGCAAAAAACCCTAATCCACTAAACAACCCAAATTATTAAAGCCTAACTAACTATAATCCAAAATTATTACAACCTAACTAATTATAATATTATATATTGAAATTATAATTATTAATTTATATTTTATAATTATTTTATTAGACAAATAATAACAAATTAAAAATATTTTATAATATTATCTAATTTAAAATGTATTATTGACAACTATAAGAAAAATAGTACATTACATGATTTACAATGTAAAAATAAAATAAAAGATTTGGTTATCAATGTAAAAATTAATAAAATGCGTACATATTTTGGAAATAACACTTCAATTTTTCAAAAAATTAATTTTTTAGGTTTCTATAATAAATTTAGTGAAAGAGATTGTTAGTAGAAAGAGGGAGATTTCAAATAGAATAAACTTTTTATTTTTTATTTTTTATGCCTTTCATATTATTTACAAAAATAATTATACCACTATATACAACAAAAATTAACTGCTATACAAAAAATTAACTTTTTTTTTTTTCATTTTTTTATGCCTTTTATATTATTTACAAAAATATTTATACCACTATATACAACAAAAACTACTATACAACAAAACTGTAACACCCAAGGGGATTCGACCTTGGGACATCAAAGCAAATAGCAGAGGCCATAACCATCACGCCGTCTCGCCAGATGTGATTATAAGTTGCTGATTAATAGAATATATTTACATTCCGTTTTCATTTTATGATGTTTGGGAATTATCCCACATCGAAGGATGGGTATTCAACTTTGCTATATAAATACCTATGTAATATGAAGTAAGGTATACGCGCGTAAACATTGGGGCAACCTCACACGTGATATGTGGCACGTGATTTTGTCGCACGTGTCTGCTTATCACACGTGTCTGCGTGTCCGTGTCGGAATGGTGAAGTCTATACGTATCTATGTAGAATCGGAGTGGTGATGTCAGAACCGCCGGTTGATGATGTCATCAAGCGGTTTACTGTTTAAAACCGTCTGATTTTCTCTAGACACGGGCGGTTCCCGTTTTATTTGTGGAACCGGCTCGTTCTGTGGCGATTCCCAAGTCGAACCTGGCGAGTCCGGCTCGACTCGGCGTTTTTTTAAACCCTAGTTCATGCTCATCAGAGAGTCCACACAGTTGAGGCAGATTGTATCCTCTCTTCTGACGATCATCCAAAGTTTGGGCTCAATTGGATATCACTAACCAAATGAAGGGTTCCGGAGGGTGTGAGTGAGTCAAGCTTTAGAGTGGGTGGATGGAAGACTAGAGCACTGAGGATCAAGAGCTTTGTAGAAAGAGGACTACATGAAGATGCCTGCATGTGCCTTGCCCTAGACCACTTTATTGACACCAGCCCAATTGGTAAAAAAGGAAAGGTGTAGGCGATGTTATTTGACTCTTAGTCATACTTGTTGGAAGTGCAAGAGCAGCTAGAAGTTTCCTATGGTAGGAAGTGTCAATTGTACAAGACCACTTGTTCGATTGCAATCCCTTAATATTGCAACCGATGTATTGAGTACGCTTAGCCAAGATTGCATTAGTAATGAAATCGAGGTCATAGACGATCATAAAAACCTGAACAAGTGTTCCCCTAGACTAAAATCTATGTATTGAGTGGCCTTAATCACAGTTCCCCACAGGTATGGAATCAAGGTCAAGCGCCCTCAAAACTAGATTTGAAGTTTATTGAGGTTCTAGATTGAATAAAGAAAATACTTAACCTATTAATAATGAAATATAAAAAATAAGATATTTATTTTGGGTTCTCAATATTTAGGAATGATGTTAAATAGAGTTTGTCGACGACACTGATCATATATTAATGGGCAAAGTTTATATATGGTTGCATCTTTATATGGATAGCTTAGGATGCAGCCTTATCAATCGTCCAATATTTTGGACAGTTCAGATTTTGCGTGAAACATCAGACTCCCAGATTCCTCAAAATTTGCTATCTTGTGCGTCACTCTCTCCCCCCCCTCCTCTCCCCCTCCTCTCTCTCTCTCTCCCCTCCCTCTCCATCCTCTCTGTTTCTTTTATCGCTACTCTCTTTCTCTCTCTCTCCCTCTCTCTTTCTCTCTCACGCACACACACAAGCCTTGCAATGGTTTTTTTAGTGTATTCTAGAAGAATTTTTTACGGTTTCTGCACTTTAGGTGGTTTCTCGTGCATATCAGCCTTTCTCAAATAAAAATCACCCATCACCACAAAAAAACTACTCAATATTGCAACCCTTATATAGGAATCAAGCTTGGGTCAAGGCGGTAGCAGCTGGGTTTTCATAGCACTACATCTCAAGTTCTATTCCTATGTAACCTTGTCAAAAAAAAATCTGCAACCCTTATATTCAACATATTTGTAACATTGGCAAGTACTTGGGCAGAAGTGACAGCAGTTTGTGATAAATTTTCATGGGACAACCCAGCACTCTGCAATATTTTGAATTCTTGCAGCTTGCATTCGATACTCAGAGGTCTTTGTCTCTGATCAGGGGCCACAATGGTAGCAACATGCGTTCTTGCCTGATAAGTGGAGGCTAGGGCATGCAGATGCACTACACTTCTCTCTCTGTATTCAAAATCTGGCACTTCTTTCCTTGCTCCATCCAACTTCAGAAGCTTCAAATCAAACCATCCTTTTGCTTCATTGATACCTGGATCCGAAGTTGAAATCAGATCGCTCATCTCTTTCTCACTTTAGAATTGACAAACCAAAACCCTATATTCAAATAATACACAATTAAAGAGCTCAAATATTCCCTAAATTCAACCATAGATATACTGCAACTTGAGATGAACCAAACCCTCCCTTCCACTCATTGCAACTGAATTTGAGTTCAAATGACTTTTCTCTCTCTCTCTCTCTCTAGAATTGAGGAACCAAAACCCAAGATTAAATCAATCAAGCATTTGAAGAGCTCAAATATGCCCTGATTTCAATTGCGAATAATCAGCAATTCAAGATGAAACAAACCCTCAATTCACTTCACTGAAGCATGGATCTAGAACTGAGATGAGATTGATCACCCCTTTCTCTCTCTAGAAATTCAGGAATGAAACCGTAGATGAGATTTTGCTCGTTTCCATTCATAAAACATATAACATTGATGTAGA